ATTAACTCGGAGGAACCCACCACTGCATTAATCATTTTTCTCTCACAAATAATAAACCGAGAAAACCAAACCGAAAGAATGAAAAAAAAAAAACTGGACGTGAATGGAATCCAAATGATGAGATAAAAAAATATCAACAAAAAATTCTAGAATTCTAAAACCGGAAAACAAAGAATTTCCACTCATTCAATACTCTCGGCTCTGTGGATTATCATACATGAATATTTAATGAGTATCATTAAGATGACTACGCATGCGCAAATATTTGGAGGTGATTTTTCAACGCTAATTCGAGAAATGGGAATATAGCGAAGTGAGACAAAAATCGAATTCATGTTTAATCGTAAATGTGGGGCAGACCGACAGGTTTGGAAGACTTCATTAAAGAATGTTTTTTGTCGATAAATTTTGGTGACTTATGAACGAATTTTTTTGTTGAAAACCCATTCCTCTTTCGAGATATTCTATTGGTGAACTTAATTAAATTAGCTTTTATATCCACTTAGTTTAGAATCTGTTCATGAAAATGTATAATTATGTTATCGCAAAGTAATTGCACAAATGACTTAATTGTCTTTATCCTTCAATTAGCCAATTTAAATAGTCCTTTATTACTCATGGTAAGTGATTCTTCGCTGAAGTAATTTCAGATACAATTCTTTCACATTATCATCCGGCCTTTCTACTTTTCGAGATATTTATCACACTTTTGAAGACTCATTCCTTCTCCAATTTCCGTTCATCAAATGCCCAATTATTCCAACGATCCATACTAGAAAAAAAAATACCAAAAAACCTGTTTTGTAGAGATCGTCATGACTCATGAATCATGACCTACAAAGTGTTCTTGAATATTTTTGCCTGAAAAATTGAATTCCTTTATAAACTCCCTGACTTTCTAATACATATGTATAAAACAATTGTTCTTATCTTATTACTATTATCATTATTACAATTACGAATGGATAATTGCGATGAAGAACTAATCACTGGGACAGCGACGGAATATTTTAGTTGAGCATTGCGTAATTTGAATTGAATTGAATGATTCCTTGCGGATTGGTGAGCAATGAGTGAATCATTCCTCGGGATTTTTGGTGGCAACAAATCTGGTCGATAGTATCCCACAGCCTTGAGAATCATTACAACCAAGCAGGAACATATGGTCCATGGAGAAGCGACTGTTCGAGGAAGACTCGTAATCTCGCTATTTATCACAGGATGCTTGCAAGCGGCAATAAACTTGTACCGGGGTTAATCCTTTCGCATAGTAGTTTTTCCAGAGAGTGGAGAATAAAAAAATAAAACAAACATTACAGACCCTCACCTTCGGTACATACGAGGGGCAATTAGAGTCTCCTCTTCTCGTCGTAATAGCCATGTAAAATACACTGGCATCGACTTTTGATGTAGAGCCAAACGATTTTTTTTTTTGCTGAGGATGTGGATGGGGATAATAGTCATTACTCATTAATTAATTGACATAACAGCAATTAAATTATTCTGGATTCACTTCTTTTAAATTTCAATCTCTTCTTTTTCGGATATTCATTATTTTATTAATTAGCTATCGTTCTGAGAATCATATGAACATTTGTACATGTGTTTTGCATCATGAGGTACTTGTGTATGGCATCTTCAAAATACATAATTCACAATGTTTTTTATACATCGCTTTTTTTTTATTTCTTCATTTATTTTAGTGAATTTATTTTCGTGGCGGCAGTGAGCTTTCCCCTTTTTCGGTGGCCAATGATTCAATAGGGATTAATTCCCATTCCTTCGATAATTAATTATGATGGAAAGAACGCACGCTCCAGAGCAAAACATCAATTTGTTTGTTGAAAAATTCATGGTAAATTTTCGCAATCTTTTGTCATTTGGTTTTCTTTCGAATGATGTGAGATTATAAAAATTCATTGGCCGCCACGCAGCTCGTTGATAATAACCATCCCATTTATTATTCTTCATTACTCTATAATTTGGAATATTTCTATTTATAATAATTACCAAAAGAACTTTTCCGTTCACAACGAATTAGAAAACATACAAATTCAGCTAAGAGACGTATAGCAATATGGGACTACATCTAACATCATGTGACTTATTAATTTTTTTTTCTTACTTTTTTATGTTTTTTATTAATAATTGTAGATAAAACAATGTTGCTTCGTCATCAGGTAGATGTTCCCTAAATCGAGTAATGATGAGACACGTTTATACTAAACTTCATTTTTATTTAATAGTTTTTACAAGTAAACATTTGAGATGATGCAAGAAGACAAAAGCATTTTTTCAATGTCTTGTTTATTTTTGGGAATATCTTGATGATTTGAGGAAGAAAATTTGGGAAGTAGAGAAAATTTTCGATGGAAAACACCTGTCACGAAGGTATTTTATCCCAGAGAATCATCGAGAGCATTTTTTCAAAGTGAGTGGCATTTTTCCACATTTATTGAATTTGAAGGGATAAATGGATCAACAGATTGTATTTCGCTCGGAAAATTTCCCTAGACATTCACAAAGATCATTCCTAATCCTCCAGCCCTTGAGATTCTCAAGATATTTCGAAAAATGATTGTATCCCCAGATACGTAAAATCCCCCATCTCCTTATTCCACCTCACTAAACATTTTTCATGTTTACCAAATTTATTTCATCGATTTGTCTCCTCTTTTCCCTCAATTCTGTAACAATTCTCTAATTTATGAATGCCCAAGGTCACCTCCCCCACAATATCACCATTAAATAATGAAAAATGAGGGAAAGAAAATGCGAAAAAAGTGTTTAAGGTTCGTGAAATAAAATATATTTAGAAAAACAGAATTAAACGCATGTAAAATAATACAGTTTCACAAAATTATACAAAAAAAAAACACATTCTCATAATCATTTCTTTTTCATCGACGTAATAACGGCCGTATACAGGAACAGAAACCATGTTGTATCATTAAATATCATTATCATTTGAGAGAGGGTGTGTTTAAACTTTTTTTCATTACCACATGCTGTGGATTCATCCCTTCATTCATCATTTTACTCTTTTACTTTAATAACTTTCACGTATATTTATGGCACAAGTGAATTAAAAAAAAGTTCTATTTCATTATTTTCATTATATAGTTGCACTCCCATAATCCATCTTAAAAATTCTCACAATTCATCAAGGATTTTATCTACTTCTATTTTTACAATTCACCAGACGGATTCAAATTAGTCAATTCTCTATTTTATTTTCATTATTTCCGGTGTGTTTCCTCTTCTTTTCTCAATAAAAAAAAAAAAATCCCCATGAAAAATTAAATTACAATTGTGATTCAAATGATAAGAATTATAAGTAGGAAAAAAATGGGGTTGGGGGTGGAGGAGAAGGGGGAGTAGTACAAAAAAAAGGTAAATAAAAAATGAAAAGTAGAGTTTGGCACAACCAACGATAATTTGGTACTGTGTAAGAGGCGATATTTTGTCAACCATTCATACAATTGAATAAAAGAAAAGATAATTCTCATGTCAAATGCCCATGTCGCGAATCCCGAGTATTATTCATAATTTTTCATTACCTAATTAAGATTGCTTCGCACAATAGAATGCCCGGTATTATTTCCCCCATTAATAATATTCAATAAAAACGCCTTAATAATGATATGAAGTAAAAATATGTATCGATCCATTTTTCATTTCATTTACCTCTTAATTCAACTTCTTATCTATAATAAACTGAGTATACAGTAATACTGTTTGATATGTCTCTAATGTACGTCGATCTATTTATATTACTTAATTCATTTATATTTTTTTCATACTGCTCATTAAAAACGTTCACCGGCGGGCGATGGAGGAACTCAATGCCGTGAAGGAGAGAAGGAAAAAATGAATGTTTATGCTCTTCAGTAAATGTGTGTGTGTGTTTTTTTTTTAATAAAAAAAAATATATATATCGCAATAAATAGTTATGTGAAAAAGTTTTAGAGTTGGAAAAAAGGAGTTGTGATAATTGTGAAAACGCCCGCACGATCTCTCATTTCACATTTTGTCATCTCTTTATATTATTATTATTACTTATTGCATTGGCTTTTCATCATTTCTTTTCTCCTTCCTTTCTTTCATCGATAATTCCTGAACTCTGAGGTAGTCTGTTCTGGGATTTTTTTTCATTATTTTTATTTTCTTTTTTACGTAGTAAAATGGCAAGAGATTATAATTCGTTATCGTTTTCTTCATCATTGATAATAAACTTAAGATTTATTTACAATTGTCAGACCTCGTCCCCAAAGAAATATATATCTATCTGTTTTATTGATAATAATTCATTATTTTAACGGTTTTCCTGGCAGAATTGAATGAGCAACTGTATCGGAGTTGATTGAGATTTTAAAAATAAGTATGAGAGTTTTGATAAATCGATGAAACTCTAGATCGACTCCAAACAACAAATGAGACCGTTCAATAAACACAACGTTCATCAAAAAAATTCTTCAATAAATCAATGTGAAAAATAATATTCAACTATCAACAGAAACAATCCCATGTTATTTCGTTATGGCGAGGTCAACGTTTTATCTGTTCATCTTTTTTTTTTATTATGTAATTTTTTTTATCTCGTGCAAACTCTCGAAGAAAATTCCCTCATCCGGTTGCCGTTGAAGTTTCAACGTGAAGTATTGTACATTTTGTTCATTCTCTTGTAATTATTCCATTTTCTTCGACAGATTCACGAATTGCAAACTTAAGCTATCTTAGGTTTATTAAAAAAAAAAAAGAGGGCCACTGTGAAAACGTGCTGGATCGATCCTCACCTCCTCCTCTTCTTTCCAATCGGAATGTTTCATTATTTATTTTAAGGTACAAGTGTCCTTGATGGAATGTATGTCAGGAATGAATGGGAAAAAAGTCAAAGGATTGTCACGTCTCATTTGTGTGAAAAAAATGTCTATTTATTCGGATAAACAATCTTTAAATAAATTTTTGTCCATCAGCTATTTTACAATTTCAATCTCAGGACGATGTCAAGTAATTTATTCATAATCATTCAATATTTTAACGGGTGGAGAATAAAATAAGAAATTGATTTTATCGCCTCGAGCACTCGTTTTCACATTGGTTCATTTACAATAATCATTTATTCTCGCTCAAATTTTTTTTGTCATTGTGATTTTTTTATCTGAAACTCTACGTCTCATTGTTTTTCTAAATCCTCCGCGTAACTATGATATATATACTATAAAATTACGAGTATTATGATGTAGGAATTTTGTTCGCAATCTATTTGATCACATTGAATCAATAATTACAATAATATAATAATAATAATAATATGCCTATACATTTAACGTATTTTGTACAGTCGATAAGCTTCGAAGGTTCGCTTCAATATCAATTAATCAATACTCATTAATATTAGATCAAGATTTACAATTTGTCGGAGCTCTTTCATTTTTTATGATCATTATCCTAAATTGAGTACAATCGGACAGGAATGTGTATGAAACTTTGCAGTTGATCGAGTCAAAATGAACTTTCAACTCCACCCACTGCATTTCCGAATTGAAGAAAGAAAAAAAAGTAAATCTTCACCTTTGAGATGTAAAAGAAAATCGCTCCACAAGTTCCGAAATATCAGAACAGAATCAACAAGAATTCCCTGCAAATATTTCACTCAAGTGTAATGTAATAAATATCTTTGAGCAATAAAATATCCTCAAGAATGCAACTGAAAATATTTCCCTATGAAAATTCATTGAAATGAATTGAAATGAAAAAAAAAAAAACAACACTTTAGGAGAAGGGATGAATGAATTCAGTAAATGTTATTTGAAAGGAATAATGTCGATGGAAAGCACCTGTGCGAGATTGATTCAAGCCCTCAGGTGTACATTGTGACTGTTAGCTTTTTTCTTGTGCGTATCTAGGTGTTTCATCATGTGATCCTTCCTGATGAATCCCTTGCCGCATGTATCACAGGCGTACGGCTTTTCGCCAGTATGTAGGCACATGTGCCGTCTGAGGTCCGTCTTGTGGTTAAACTGCTTGGGACATACTTCGCACTTGTATGGCTTGTCACCGGCATGCTTCTGCAGGTGTTCAGCATGTAGTGTCTCATGTGGAAAACGTTTGCCACACTGATTGCATTTGAACGGCTTGTCCCCAGAGTGAAAGCTCTTGTTGTGTTGTGTCAAGTAGCAAGCCTTATTGAATACCTTGTCGCACTCGATGCACTTGTGAAAGCCGTCCTGCGATATATAATGAGATCCAGTGTTTGTACTGGTGACTTGATGTTCCTTGGTACTTGTCACTTTTTTCTTGGCCATTTTGCCTTTAACAATATTGGGATTTACCTCCTCCTTGGCCAATCTAGGAGGCAAATTATTGTTAGCTTCCATGTGTCGATAATCACGAAGTTGAATGTGCCCCTGATGCTGAAGAACCTCGTACTGCTTTATAATCATTCCATTTGGTATGGATCCATGAATTGATCCAATAGGTGAATCCATGCTTGTCAATGACTCATACTTGGGTGGTGAGTTATTATATGCTTCGTAGCTAGATGGTGATGAATCAAATGATTTATCTTGAGGAATACGTTCCTCAGGGCTTAGCCCCCCCACGTTAATGGCCTGTGGTTGATTGTGGCCACCTAAAAATCCGGTTATACCAAACTCAGTGAAGCTTGGTAAGGCTCTCTGATGATTACTGAAGGTGCCAAAACCGGGTAATGTATCCAGACTCTCAAATGGTGTACTCGTTGACACATCACCAGTAGTAATTAGTTGGCTGGTGATAGAGTCCATTAGTACCTGGATATTGGTAGTGGTTGTAACGTGGGGGGGCAAGGCGTTTGGGTACGGCTGATGAGGCATCGTAGTACCCCCCATCGGTGGTGAAACCATTGGCGATACTCCCGGCATTATGGGCGATGGTGAATTCATGTGATGATGGGATGATGCCATTGGTGAAGGGGAATTGAGGTGTTGGGGTGGTGGCGGTGGATGCATGGGGGATATGGGTGAATTCATGGGATGATGTTGCATTTGGGATGGTGAACCTATTGGTAGGTGGTGTTGAGGTAATTGGGGCGATGGTGAACCCATTTGCTGATGGTGATGGACCCCCATTGGTGATTGTACTGGTGAATTGAGGGGTACCATTGAGGTGGCAATGTGTTTCACCGTTGTAGATTGACCCTGTTGGGGTGATTGTACCTGATGCTGCTGATGACCCAGAGATGTCGTAGAGTCGTTGCTGTTGGAGCTGCCGTTGCTGGAATTGCTGGTGATGTACGGGTGATTGATTGGCGTGTTGAGCAGGCCCCTCGCCGCCTCTACCGAGGGACCTGCCATCAAGTTTGGGGGACTCCCTGAGGTAGATAACTCCGGTGAACGAGATGGTCCGCCTCTTCCACCAGGTGCATTGTCCCTTCCTGGATGATGATGCGCTGATATTGGCATATTTGCTGGATCAGGTTGATTGCTCTGTTTAACGGCGTTTTTATGTAACGTTGTGTTGTAATGCCTCTTCAAGTGGCCGGAGCTTGTGAACCACTTGTTGCACGCTGTGCAGTTGTATGTCTTTGGTCTTCGCGCCTCGTTACTCTTCCACGATTGATTACCACTCGGTGGTTTTGGTGGCTGTTGTAACAGTCCACCTGGCATATGATGCCCAGGCATTGGTTGGGTGCTTGTTATTATTGGTGAGCCAGCGAGTCGTGGGGGCTCAACTGATAAATGCTGTGTCGGCATAAATTGCCGTTGATCTGGTAACGGTGAACCACTGTCTAAGGGAACCATTGGCGATATACCAGAATGGTAATCATGAGGCTGTGCTGGTGGCCAACCAAGCATGGAACTCACCGAATGCGGTGCCCCTCTCTGCTGAGCAAGCGCTGCTTGCTGTTGCTGCTGCTGCTGCTGCTGCTGCTGTTGTTGTTGCTGCTGCTGTTGCTGTTGATGGTGAATCTGCATTTGCATTTCCTGCTGATGTATTCTCATCATTTCCTCCTCATACCTGTGTGTTTGCACTTTGTGGGAGTCAAGGTCGAGAATTTCGGCCTGATCCTCTTGCTCCTTCGATTCACTCTTCCCACCACCCCCATTGTAATCGTAATTTTGTGGTTGAGATGATTGACTGTTTTGCAGTGGTGACGAGTGCATTTGAGTAGCAGGAGTTGGCTGCTGCTGTTGTTGTGGCTGTGAGTGCTGTGGGCTAGATCCCAACTGCTGGTACTGCGGCTGGCCCGCATATGCACTCGGTGATGTTGGATGATTTGATCTGACGTGTTCAGCTAGTTGATTGGCATCATCAAAGACATTACCGCACTTGTCACACTGCGGTGGACTTCTCGGGCTCGATGAGCTCACGGAATTCGTCCTCTCTGGCTGATAATGCTGTGGATGCTGGTACGGATGATACCTTGGTGGATAGTTACTGGCTGTCTGTGGATCATCATTTGGCGGTGAATAATGATGCTGATGCTGCAGCAAATATGCTTGATCGTTCTGCATGAAGTACGATGTTTCACTGAACATTGGGGTTGAAAAGTGGGTGTAACCTGGTGGGACCGGTTGCTGTCCGCTTTGCGATGATCCTGATGGATTTTGCTGTCCCTGATTTGACTGTTGCTGTTGGGGAGCCACAGTTGAACCACCAGTGGATGGTGGTCTCGATGATGATTCACTGGAATCCGCTGGTGCTGTTACACTCTCACGTTTTACGTGACTATTGTGATTACCAGCTTTACTATTATTATTATTACTCTCTTCCTGTTGACTGGGATTGGCCCACTGATTCAACAGGTTCTCCTGGTGATAACGAATATGAACACCTAGACTTTTATCACTGTCAAAGTTAAGTCCACAGTCCTTACAGTGCAGCTCGGAATTTGAACTACCGCCTACGTATTGCTGCTGCTGACTGTGCTGCTCAACACTCATCGTTTCACTCATATTGTCTTTGATCAATTACACAAATAACTCCTCGTCGCACACGTGGGGAGGACAGATGAGGAGTCAACAGTCTGAATTTTAGGGGAAGGGGACCTCGGATGCGCCGAGGGGCGCTCCTTCATGAGGAATACACTCCGAATTATTCACGATTTTATCTCCGAGCACATCTATTATTCACTCAATTATTCCAAACTTTTCACCATTTACAAATGTTCTAAAATGTAAAAATAAACGTAAATAAACTAAAAAATGAAATACGTTGCGTTCTACATTTATCATATGATCGCACAAATCATCCCGGTGAAAGTCCAATAAATCAGGGCCACTGTTGATGGGGTGGTGATTACAGTCTGACCGAACGGCGTCATTTCTCTTGGCCCTCCCACTATTTCAATGTGTTTCTTTCCGTACATATCATTGTCTCAATCATATAGTAAATAGCACCGGGTATGGAAAATATTTCGGTTGAATTGCAAACGATTTTATCGATTAGTTTCAACGTGAATGTTAAAAAAATATATAAGTATTATAACGGTGAAACTGAAACAAAAGGAGTGGCAACAGCCTTGATGAATTACATATTAGCGTACGACCTCGACTTTCTTGCGTTACAGTCACGCAACTATATGCCAAACGATAATAAACTATCGAAGGGTTTTCAATTTGCCACGTATGTCAACTCCCAGTGTCTCAACAATTACACGTCAATGGCAAATGACAATTGATCAACGTCACAAATTTCCATCACTCATCACTGTTAAATCAGCCATCTCGTATCATTCGAATCGTCACAGTTCCAACATAAATAATCACTTTTGCTCACCTATTTATCCGAACAGCTCAATTATCACGTTAACAATGGCTTAAATTAATAATCACAAAATCATGTCCATATGAATAATCTTAACAAACACTTTTTGCCACTTTAAATATCTTCACAGTTAGGTTTATAATTTTGGTTAATTAGCAGGGCCGGTATGTTCTCGTGTTATTATTTATTTGAGGGGTGAAAATTCAGATAGAACCGCGTTGCACGAGCGCCGGCACTGGTCTGTCGACTGTCGGTTGAAAATATAACGAGAATTTCGTGTTGGTCGTCGCTGGCGCGCCAAACCACTACTCTCTACCCCTCCGCCGTCTCATCCGTACCCTCCCCATTTTCTTCACCCCCTCCCCCTCCAACGCCTTGGCGCGCCAGCCGTTTTACCCCCCACCCTCTTCCTCATCCACCACTTATACACAACCCTCCGCACCACCTAGCCACCCCACCTCACTCTTCCTCAAGTCCTCTCCTTCTCCCTCCCTCTCACTCACTCTCAATCCTACGGCAAAGCCACCTCGAGACAGCCAACCAAAATTCGAGATACCGGCCGCTTCTTTCCCCCACTCGATGAATATCTTCCCCACTCCTCGTTGCACCTTCTATTTCCACCTAAACCCCATCGGTTTTTGGGGGGTTTACACACACTCTTACCGAGTATGAAGGACCATCCTACAGACAGAGAAAACAATTACCATTTTCAGGAAGCTCCATTTTTTTTTTCATCCTGGGAGAAATATTCGATAAAAATCAAGCATTGCGAAGATAATGAGAACAAATCTACGAAGAGTTGAATTTTATCAAAGCATTGGGGGAGGAATCAAATTTGAATATCCGCAAATTTGAAAAGTGCGACTCCAAGGAAAGGCACGTTACCGCGTACTTCAAACTGTTAGGGAAAGGATTGAGTATGCCATTAAAAAATAAAATATCGATAAATTGCAAATTGTACAATAATTTTTTTGAATCCATTGATCACGTTTGCTTTACGAGAAAATCTTAGCAGAACCAAGAATTATCTAAAAAATCATAATTTACGCAAGATTTACAACTTTTTCTGTTAAATGCGATGAGATGTAATTTTCACGAGTGTTACCTCTCCACTCCTGAAAAAATGTCAACGAATGAAATAAAGAGAAAAGTGGAGAAATGAGGCTTGAAAATCCATCCGCCTCGTCATAAATATTATTGTCATTGTTTGTACACATTACATTCGACTTTAAGTCGCCTGTAGTTGTCATCCGAATAAATTCATCGAGAAACTTCGCAACCTCTGGCAGAGAGAGAAACAATATTTCCGCACACTTAAGTTCGATACACGGGCTCTGGGCTCGTAAAAGTTGATTGAAACTTTCTAAAACGAATTCCACACGTGACGCCAGAAGTACAGGGGCTTAGAGGGCTTGACGTTAGCTGCCAAACGAAAGTAATGAAACGTAACCGTTTTACGAAGCGGAGGTGGCGCGTGGTTTTTTTTTCCCCCTTTTTTTTTAGCTTGATTTAATTTTCATTTGGCCACGAGTACTCAAACTAACGGGAGTCGATGGAGAGAGAGAAAATCGGACAAACGAGTGAAGCGAATCAACGTAACAACTGCAAAGTGTTTTACGACTTCGTCTATATTGAGTTGAAGATTTTTCTCGTATTTCTCACCATTTTTTAGCTAATGTGAGTCACTCAGTCAAGTGTATTGTACTCGGATCAGGAAGTATGAGTTGTCAGATTTTTTCGTTCTTGTGGAAAGGAATTCTGACTGAATAATTCAGTGAAGTTGAAATATTAGTTTCATTCAGTGATGATTATATTTCGATAATTTACTGTGATTTTTATTTTATTGCAAAGTTTCGAAATCTGAGACAATTGCGATAATCAATTTTTAATCAATTCACTCATACAACACAATTTTTAAAGGTCTAAATCGTTAAATGTTGAGTTCTCAAACTTTCCATTTTTGGATCCAGCCAAAAAGCAATATTTTATTCAGATATTTTATGGTTGATTTTGACCTTTCGATGAACGAGACACACTCATTAAAAACGCATATGACATATTGAATTCAGTATGAAAACCGAGGAAAGTCATCGATATCAATAATTTTTGTGAATCTCCAAGCTTCAAAAATCCTGACTACTTCATTAAATTTGTGACATTAATCAAGTTAAACTGAAGATAAATCACATGAATCTTTTCTCAAGACCTCAATTCACTATCAACATGTAATAATTCCTTGAATTGTGTCGCGGACTACGAGAATACATTAATATTTTTATAATTTTTAATAAAAAAAAATGTAGTGACAACCTCGTTCAATCTGTCATCGATACTCAGGTATTCCATTAAATAGTCTCGATGAAACGTATATTGCCCACACACGTAGTGGTAATGTATTTTTTTTTTTTTCATCTCGCCTGAAATCTCATCGTTGGAGAGAAACACCAGTGGAAAAAAAAAAAACGTAAGAGCGCAACGAACAGAGTAGTGTTTCTGCAACACGAAATAAACATATTCATGGGTTATAGAGATGAGGAGTTGGAGTTTTGCGAGAAGATGACGTATTCCGTATGCAAAGTGCACGAGTCCGGGGACTCTGGGTTGTAGCCGGCAGGCGGACGAAAAAAAACGTTGGCATGAAAAAAATTGCAAGGTTGGCCAGATTTCTTTTTCCTCCTCGTTTTTATTCATCTCCCCCACCGCATTGAAGAGCATACGAAGGTTACAGGAGAGTTTGCATCGTTCTGTCTACTGCTTTTTTTTTCTAGGAAAGTACGGGGCAAAATGGAACTTCAATGAATTTCCATTTGAAAAAACTATTGGAAAAAAATCTCGGAAAGAAAATTGCTGTTTATTTGGTAAAAATTAGAGGTTTTTTAAGATCAATGAACTTTATTGGACATGGCATACATTTTTTCTTCATTTTTTTTTCTAGCGAATAGGTTTGGGTGACTGAGGATTACAGGTAAGTAGCCGCGTAATTCTTGATGAAAACACCTTGAGGGATACATCAACGGTGTAATTTGATATTTTCAAAGTCTTCAGCGAACGACACGGAAATTTAGCGTGATTAGTTTGGGAAGAAGTCACTGGAACGAGAGAATGTGAGGAGATGTCACATCGTGTTCGCTTCTTGGAACATTTTCGCTATTTTGATTGTGAGAAGAGAATTGGAGATTGTGTTTTTTGATCAAGCGGTAGAAATCGCTCAATTGAGAAATTTCAAGTTCTCAAGGCCTTCAGTAATTTACCAGATTTTTTCTTCCACTCGTTTATTTTCCACACAATTTGCACATTCGTTGACAAAAAAATCATATTTGTCCACTTATAATCACGCATTCTCAGTAAAGTGCGCAGTGAATCACTTACGTACACGACGAGAAGCGAAAAAAAAATTAAAGGTTACCAGAGTTCAATGGAAGATCAGGAACAAGTGTTTATGGAAACAAAAGCGATAAATTGAATTCAAATCCGATTTCTCTCATCGCGTTTTTCCTCTCCAAGGCGCCCTTCAAAATTTCCTCAAGGGGAATGTTGTGTAGCTGGAATTTAAATAATGTATTCACTGCGTGTAATATATTCTACAAGATGATGACAGGCAATTGTTGATGACGATTGGTATGTTTTCAGGTAATAGTATGGTTTAATTAACGGTTTGCTCGTGCGTCAGATGACACGCGATTTGAGACAATCTCTCCTGCATTAGGATTATTTTGACCTGAACGGCATGGATCAATTATATAATTAGATGCTGTGGTATTTGCTCGAGGCCACGATTTCTTTTCATTTTTTTTTTCCATCGTTGCTGAATTATTTAAATCACCATCAGCATGGATGGAGAGCAGAGTCAAATCGTTGAATTTTTATTAATTTAATCAATATTTAAATTGTGGAACGACAAGCGTTTTTCTTCAACCAATTTCCATCATTTATTAATTATTATGTAAGAGGAAATTTTCCTTCATATTGCTCGTATGGAATTCATGTGCAAATTAATAACTCACGTACTAGAAATGTAAAAAAAAGTAAAAGCAGTAGTAACAATCTTTCAGTTAAAAATTACTTTTTTTGCGAATGCCGGTACTTTTTTTATAAACTGAAGGTGAGAAAAATAGAATTGAATCACGTGACTGTTTTCCAAATTTTTCAATTTCCTTTTCACCTGCGGATAATCGTTTTCCTTATTATGCACAAGGGGTTTGTAAAAAACAAGGGGTGAGGGATAGATGGAGGGAAACGTGATACAGCGGAATGCAAGTCGCCGCACGTGTCACGATAGCAAGTTACATTTTGCCAGGGCTTGTGGAGAGTGGAGAATAGAAAAAAAAAACCAATGGGCGAAGCTCTCCTGGACGCTTGAATTTCCTTAATAAAATGGGGCGCAAATGCCACGCCAGCGAATATCTAGGGGCATGGTCAGCTCTACATAGCGTCCACAACGCTAGAATGCCTCTAGGGTTGCTAGGAAATTTGGGGTGGAGGAGATGTTGCTTAGGCTGATTCAATCTGACACGGAGATATTTCCCTTTCCCTTGACTCTCATCCACTGGGGGTTCAACTTTCTGATGATATTCGCATATCACATCTACACCATTTTACACAATGATAAAAACATTCGCTGAAATTGCCCGGACACTGCAAAGAATAATTGCATTTATACGAGATAAATTTATCAACTACTCAAAAATTTACACATGTCAAATGCCCCCGAAAATACCCACGGGAAAAACTTATATTTTCGAAAATCCAAAAAAAAAATTAAATGGTAATTTAATTGATGACTTGAAACATGACTTACATGTTTATGAATCTCATGGGATGATCTCCTCGCCCTATTGTAAATGATTCCCTACTTGAGGAATTATCTCGACATTAGACGAGTGTCGCAATTACCTAACAGTTCAATTATCTAAGGGATCAGCATGTCATTACTGGTTGATTAGCAAAATTAATGTCAATAAATAGTCAAGTGCGATTATCCGATTTTACAAGATAGTATAAACGCGTCGATCCTCTCGCACCGCAATGAGGATTAAAACTAAATGATTTCTGTTGTCATTGATTTGAGGTGCCACATGGAATGTGGAAAATCAATAAATGTCTAGCTGTGTGTTGATGTTATTTCCTCTGACAAATATTTATTACACGATCCTTATCGTTTTAAATATTTATTCATGTTTGTGTAGGGTTTAAACTTCAGGAAATTTTTTGTCACTTTTTGAGATTATAGAGATTATAAAAATCATGGATGGAATATATATGAACTCTATACGCATTAAATTATTTGCATTATTAAAAAATAGGGAGGAAAATTAATGC